TCTTCTACTTGAATTTCGGGGGCGACCTCTGCGACCTCCGAGGCGATCTCCACCACCACTGGGACGACCTCCATGACCTCCGAGGCGACCACCACCATTTCTGGGGTAACCACCCTTCTTGGGGTCTGCCCCACTCCCTCCTCTTCTGCCTCTTTGGCCATGGGGGTCTCCTCCGCCGTCACATTCCTCCTCATCTTTAAGGCAGGCTCCTCCTCACCCCTCATCACCTTTCTCTTTTTCTTCTTCCCCACACCCTCCATCTCCATCTCCTTGTTGGCCCTCTGCTTCAAAGGATCAATTGGGGGCGGTCGTGGCTCAGATTCACCCAAGTCTTTTTCCCCCAGCGATTTGGGGCGCAGTCAGATCCTCTCCTGCGCGATCGGCTTCGGCGGCCGGTCTGCCTGCGACTCCTTGAATTTGCTGGCCTTGGCGAGAATGGACCTATCCTCCACCTCTTGTGCCTTCCTTCTCGCCTCTAATTCCGCCGGTTCCAAGTCCCCACCGGTCGGCTGAGGGCCGAACCCCGCAATAAACAAGGTCGAAGGTTGAACGAGTTCGCCCCAGCTGACTCCTTCTTTCTCCCTCCATGCCTTCACCTTCTTTACTCTTTCCTCTGCTGTTGCCCCTAGTTTTGGCTCCACAGATTTGGTGGGCACTCTCCACACCGTGCGCACCCCAACCCTTCCATTCACAGAAACGTAGAACCACTGCGGCCTCCACCCCTTAATTGATGACGGCAAACCAGTCACCAGACCCCTCCCTGCCGCCGTCTGCAACGTCACCCACATCTCTTGCTGTCCTGAGGCCTTATAACACGTGAAAAACTCATCCACCATCATAGCTGCCCCTTCGTTCGCCTTCGGCCACGCGCTTGCACAGGCCAGTATAATCTTCTACGCATTGGGCATTAGTTGGCCCGGCGCCACCTCCAACCGATTCAGGACATCTACCACCACTTGCGGAAGCGATAGCCTCAGTCCTCCCTTCAATGCTTCCTCGTAAAGGGCAAACTCCCCCGGCCGGGCGTCGGATGGCCTCTCCGTTGACGTCGGCAATAGTAGCTCTATTTCGGCGGGAACCTGGTATTTTTCACGCATACCCTCCAATTCCACCACAGTCACCATCGATTTGTCAGCCTTCGTGTGCTAGTGATCTAGTTCTGCCTGACTGATTGGCTTCGGAGCCGCCATCATGGTGGAAGAATGAGATCGTACCGCCGGCTCCCCCACCCTCTCCACTTGCCTCTCCATCCTATACTGCTCTACCAACTCCACCGCGTCGTCATCCCCAAACCCTGGCGGTTTCAGTTTCTTCTTGGGCCATTTCTGTGATGTGTCTATGAATCGCTTCGGATGCAGGCGCAAGGAAATTCCAAAAATGTCGCAAGGGTGTATCACTTGCAATGAAGGAGCCTACACTTAGAATGTTTTGGTTTTTCGAAAAAAGGTAGGTACAATGTATAATACTAAAAGCCCAAGGTTTCTCTATATTCCAAAGGTCGTAATTAATTTTCGCCAGTTTGAAAAATTTTCAACCTTCCGCCAAAACTGTCTTTTCAACACCCATTATGACCTATCGTTTCACTTCTAGCCCAACGCCTAACCAACCCCCACCACGAGATGCTGCCACGTGTACGGCCACGATTCACTGCCCCCTTCCCCTATCCTGTCTTTTCCACTTCAAGTCATTACGTGACCCGCCGCCTCTCGAGCCCCGCACCCCGCCACCTCACCCTTCGCGGTCGGCCCTCCTCATGGTTGGTCCCCCCACTCAGTTACCCTTCGCGGTCGGCCCTCCTCATGGTCGGTCCCTCCACTTGACTACCCTTCGCGGTCGACCCTCCTCATGGTTGGTCCCCCCACTCAGTTACCCTTCGCGGTCGGCCCTCCTCATGGTCGGTCCCCCCACTCGGTTACCCTTCGCAATTAGCTCTCCTCACGGCGGGTCCCTTCACTCGGCCACTTCTGATCGGTCGTTCCTTCTACTCCACCTTCAACCCCCATCTTCCTCATTATTCTCTTCGTTGGGCTAAAGCTGCCGTTGGGAATGGGGGACTACTGACATGGGTAGGCCCATAAAGGCCATAACCCACTATGAACAACCCAAGCCTACCACTTAGGGCCCAATACATAACCCAACTGATAAGGCCCAGCACAGTTGGAAGCCAACATGACATGAAGGACTAATGGTATTCAGACACGTGGCAGGTAAAGAGCAAGCCTTCTCAGCAGACAAAAATCTGCAAAGTTATTGCCACTGCACATCACTATTAATGCAGCCCCTCACAGCATTTATTACGACAACACCTCTCCGTCGGGACAGCTCGCCCTCACCCTGAACAAGGTAAGCTACAACATAGACTTTTGGCCAAGGTGACAGGTTGGACGGGACAACGAAATGATTACTAAAGGATATAAGCAGACGTTGAATACGAGAAAAAGGTTAAGTTCTCTATTTCTAACTCATATCTCTACATTCCACTTCTCTCTCTAACTTGCTCGTTGAAGGGTTCGTTGGGGGATTCCCCGTTCCCCGTTAAACTCCTGTGCAGGTTCTTAGGTGGGCTTGGCCATTCAGATATCGGTTGGAGAAGCGTGGACCAGTCCAACCCATTCCCTCTGGAACTTGTTGTATCGTAACTGTATCATCATTTATTATTTTTTTAAATTGGAAAATTAATTTTATGCAATGATTTTAGGAGATGAGTTTGAAGAGATTTTATTTATTTAATTTAGAAATGATTATAGTGTAAATCTGATGAAAATGATTAAATTTTAATTGATTCTAAATTATTTTTTATATATATTTTAGACAAATTTTATATTATTATTTAATTTAAAATATTAAATTTTAATTATTTATCTGTACCTGTGCATGGAATGGAAATTATGCTAGTAAAATATATAGTAATACAATTATGCCAAACGTATCTTTTACCCAAAGCCGTTCCCAAAATATCTTAATCCTCCAAACACCCAAAATAAAAGCATCAATTCAACCATCCTTTGCACGTACTCCTGTGGCTGCCCATGTTTCTTTTGAAAAAATTACAGGCTTGAAATTTCAAGGTGTGAATTAATAATTCAAATTTTCTATTATTCACTTCATTTGAAGCCACTTCAAATATTTATGCTCCATAATTATACAATATATACGAGATAGGTGATTACTTGGAATTGATTGAGGCGTGAGAACGAACTCGCTTGTGATTTAAAAAAAGTCATTTATACACTTCTTAAAGGGTTGACAAGATGCTCACCAATTTCAGTTGCAATATATTATGCACAAAATTATAATACAATGTTGGTGATGTTATAATTGAAAGACATCATATTGCAATTTCAAATAACTACATTACAAGAGTACATGCACACTTTTAATGATATGCAAATTAAATTTTGACTCTATGCGGGGTTAATTTCTGCACTATGGAGTAGGGTTGAGTTGCGTGGCAAACTGGGTGATCCGAAATGAAAGTTTGCACAGACAACAAACTGTAAGATTACCTGACTTGGGTTAGGTCGGAAAATCCCTCCAATGATAAAGTCAAAAAAAAGAAGGAGATGACTGTAGAGAGAAAGTAATTGCTCAAGAGTGTAGAAATTGGGATCCTTATAAAGATTGATCAAGTTACCTTATGTATGGGAGCTAACTTGCTCCCCAAGTATGTCTTTCTCCGCTACCTGTCCCTCTTATTGTTTACTAGGTCACTCGTCATTGGAGAAGGACAACGAGTTTGCTTGTCACTCAAGTATGTAGGTCTAACGTATGTGCACCTTGTCCCCATGTCCATTTGCGGCTCCATGATTTGAGTAGATAGGGAGCGTAGGGACAGAACAACGATTGCAAAGATGTTCCCTTTTATCTTTGTGGCATTGGGTCATACTTTGTAGTAGGCGAAAGGCTAAAGTTGAATCCATAGCTCAGCCGCACTTCAGAGTGGGCAAAGGGGCTATGGCCGAACCCCTAACTCAGTCCACTTTAGAGTAGGCGAAGGGCCTAGGCCTATATGCTTCTAGCCTTGCTCACTTTAGAGTGGGCAAATGGGTTAGAACCGAACTTCCAGCTCAGTTCACTTTAGAGTAAATGAAGGAATGCGCATAGCCTTGCCCTCTTCAAAGTGGCAAAAGGGCTAGGGCCGAACCCCTAGCTCCTCTCATTTCGAAGTGAGCAAAAGGGCTAGGGCTGTACTCCTAGCCTTGTGCACTTCAGAGTGAGCCTTCTTTCGTTTGTGGTTTGAACTAACATAAATGGGCCATGAGTAATTGTGCCCTCTTCACTCTCTATTAAAAAAAAATAAAAATAAAAATAAAAAATATAATGCAGTATTACTATAACTAATTATGGGTTAATGTTAAATAAGTTTCAAATAATGTCAAGAAATATTATACTTTCAACACACATTTCATGTCATATATTTCAATATATATTTTCTATATAGAGATAAAATCCCCTCCATACTTTCATCTCTTCATAGTCATTCATATTTTTTTTTTATGGGTTCAAATTTAAATTCATATTGATAATCCGAATCTTTTACTTTGTATATTTCGTAATAAAAGTTATCTATATAAAAAATCAATTTCACCAGACAAAACTAAGAATAAATCACATTTTGTTTTATAAAATAATAAATAAAATTATAAACTTAAACCATTCATTTGGTAAAAGAAAACATAATTTGTTTATTTGTTTGTAATTGTTCAATAAATTTAATTTTTTGTGTAAATTATTTTTACAATAAAATTTATAAAATAAATGATTTAAATGATTAAAGTGAATTCGAAATGAGATCTACCGTAATAGTACGTCTTCATTTTATTTTTTTAAACGACTATGCTTATTTATTCTTTGTTTATTTGTTTGTAATTGTTCAATAAATTTAATTTTTTGTATAAATAATTTTTACAATAAAATTTATAAAATAAATGATTTAAATGATTAAAGTGAGTTCGAAATGAGATCTACCATAATAGTATGTCTTTATTTATTTTTTTAAACGACTATGCTTACTTATTCTCTCATGATTTGTCTGTCTCCCCTTTCCCAAATCTTCTCACTCCTTTCACACCACCGTTCAGTGTTATCTTCTCTCTGTAGAAATGTACGAGCCCCAACCCCAACCCCAACCTCAACCTCAACCTCAACCTCATTACCTGAGATCTCGAAGAAGCAGAAGCCGTACAAACGTAGCATCATGTATAGTCGCCAGCGTCTTCCTCCTCTTCCTCGCCGCCGTGGCCGCCGTAGTTTTCTTCCTCCTCTTCAAACCCAAGGACCCCACCATCTCCGTCGACGCCCTCCAATTCCCCTCATTCTCCGTCTCCAACTCAACCTTCAACTTCACTCTCTTCCAGTTCGTCTCCGTCACTAACCCTAACCGCGACGATTTCACTCACTACGACAGCTCTCTCCAGCTCCTCTACTCCGGCTCCCAAGTCGGCGTCGTCTTCATCCCCGCCGGCCAGATCGGCGCCGGCCGCACTCAGCACATGTCCGCCAAATTCGACGTGAAGGAGTATCCTCTCGCGGCGAGGTCCGGCCAAGTGTCGGTGGCGGCGGCCAGTGGTGGAGTGGTGGCGCCGACGATGGAGATAGAGACGAGGATGAAGTTGGTGGGGAGGGTTAGGGTTTTGAAAGTGTTTACGCATAGGGTGGAGAGTAGAGTGAGGTGTGGGGTTGTTATCGAAGTCAGCGATGGATCTGTGTTGGGGTTTCATTGTTGAGCAAGGAAGTGTGTTGGCTTTGTTTTCTGGCTTGAATTCAACTCCTCCAATTATCCTCTTCTTCTGTGAACTTGTGTAATTGTAAGGTGGTGGTGATGATGGGTTTTTGATTTTTGGACATTTGAATCAGAGTCTTAATTGTGGTATTATTTTATTTATAATTTTTGTATTGGAAAATTTTCCATCTGGATCTCGAGAAAAACAGAGAGCCAGTTTCTAATTACATTCCATTTACAGCCAGCCAGTCTGGATTGTGGATTAGATTGAGGAATTTTAGTGGGAAATGAATGAGGGAACAAAAACACAAGCCCACAATTTGGATGGAGTGATTACACTTTTTAGGTGGAATTTTACTATTTTTCACTCAATCATTAGTTGCATTTTGTTTGGGATTTTTTTGGTGCAATCACATAATTAGACATAAATTTTTATGTTTTAATTTTTTTTTTCTAGTTCACTTTAAAAATTAGCTTATGTTCAAATTAGACAGAAAATGACATAAAAATATTTTATTATATTGAATGTATATTTTTTTTATACAAATTCTAATTCTAATAGAATAATATATATATATATATATATATATATTTTATATATATTATTTGACAATTAACGTTATATTTTCTATCTAATTGTGAATGAGTAAATTACAAATATACCTTCTGAAGTTTGCTTAAAATACGAATTGTCTCCTGTGATTTGGAAAATTATAAATACCTTCTTGTCAGAATTTTTTATTTAACAAAATTAATCGAAAAAGTAAAATTTCTAACTGTTCACCTATACGATAATAAAATTATCTAAATTATTAACTGAAATAAAATTTTAACATTATTAAAAACTGTTACTTAACTTGATGATTTATTAATAAAAGGATCTATTTGTTATGAACTTAAAAACCTTAAGGGGGCATACTGTAATTTCTAGAATTACATGGAGTAATTTATAATTTAAATAAATTTCAGAAGGCGGGTATGTAATTTATCCTAAATTTTAAGTATCAAAGTAGAAAAATAGCCAAACATAAAAAGGTAAAGTGTCATTCGCTCTATTTTGATTTAGGGGTGTTTGGCATGTGCTATCTTAGCATATTATTTTATTTGAATCACAATTATTTTATTTGGATTACATCACTTTAAACCCAAACTTATATTTCACATTTTTCATACAAAATTAAAAAATATACTTATTTAGATCATCTCAAATATTTAGATCATCTCAAATACCCCTTTAATCTTAAGTTGTGTTTTGTTTGAAAACTTTCAACTGCATAAATCAGACACAACATTTCGTATGGGATGAGTCTTATTAAATGTATAGATGGCATTTTATGTGTGAGGATTGTTTAATTCTTGTGTACATGGAAGAACTAGTTTTGTTCACATATTTTGATTAAATGTGAGAATAATTCTCACTGGTTTGGATCATTCAAAAGGTGAAAAATTGTGAGAAAAATAATTAGAGGAATAGAGAAAAAGAAAAGTCTGTTAAAACCTCTATTATCAAAATTAATGTGATTTAGTGAGACATGAGCCATGTGGAGTATAAATTTTTATAGTACTTAAAATTTTCTTTTAAATAAAAAATAAAAAAAAATAAAGAAAAGTCATTTATGTCATCTTTTATTCTTTGTTTATCTAAATTTTATGGAAAAAAATTACAAATTTTTTTGCCTATTATATCGACAGACTGTTACTGTAGAGTGAATTTCATTGAGAGGAAAAAAATTATTAAAAACAAATAAATAAATAAAGAAGACTTCCGACCTCAGTTGGCAAGGCAAGATAAATTTCTTTTAACTGGGCAAATTTCATGTTACGTAGAGATATGCCCATGTCATAAAATGCAAGAACAATGCATAAATTTCCCCTTCCCAATTTCTAATGGACTAACCGTACAATTTGTTAAGAATCTCAAAATACAAGATATTCAAAGCGCAATGACATGTTGGTTTGTCATCAAATGCAAATTTCATGTCACATTGAGATGCATCTTTCATTTATCTGCTTCAAGTTGAATTGATAATTTGAAAAAAGCTAAACCCTTTCCGTTAACCTATCCGTGCCTTCTAAGAAATGGCATTCAACCATGAGAAAGAGAACATTCTTAAACAAAGCGTGAATGCCAAAACTTCCATCCAGTATTCATACATGTCTCAACATATCTCAAAAACCCCTAATCAACTTATAACATTGCCAGAAAATTCAGAACGATAGAGAGAGAACTGGTCGTTAACTACAGAGGTTAGGTATGCAAACCCCACCATCCAGGTTCTGTTGTTCCTTCCATATTCGCCCTGTAACACGCAGTTTCAGTTCATTCCTATCCCCACCGGAGAAAAAAAGGGCCATATTGCGTTGTATAATGAGACCGTCGTGGCTGTCCCTCACCTTCCTGTGACTATCCCTTATACTTCGTGGAGTGCCCTCCCAAATGATTTTCCGGCCATTTCCCCCAACCTCAAGGCTATAACTGTAGCTTCGGGCGTCTGTCTCATCTCCCATGAACCGCAGAAACGCCATATAAACAGGAGCCATCCCAAGCTGAAAAGCTTCAAAATGGAGACAGAAATACTGACCGAAACAATTGAAGACCTAAAAAAATAGGAACAAAATAGCAAATATTTTAGCTGATAGAGTAACTGAAAATGTGCAGCGCTTGAAGATTTAGGCTCTTGAACAGTAATTCAGCAAACAGCATGAATTGTGTTCTTTATTACTATTGTTGTCAAATTTTGAAACAATGAAGCATTGAAAGTGATCTACTTTGTGCATAACCCAAAATTTATGGTATGCTTATTAATCTCTCTCTCTCTCTCTCTCTCTCTCACTCACTGTGTGTGTGTGTGTGAGAGGAATAGGGGAAAGCGAAATTGCATAGTAGCCCTGTTTGGTGTAGCTGTTAAAACATATTATAAATTATGACTTTAATCAGAAACTGTTAATCTATTTGGTGTAACTGTTGGATTATAGATTTAAATTGCTGAGTAGTGTTTGTTAAATAAACTGTGAAATAATTATTTCAATTATTTTTTATTATTCACTACTTGTATACATTTCTCATAAAAAATAACAACAATATTCTATAGTCCATTTGGGTCTTTTTCTATTTTAAAAAAAATAAAAAACAAAAAAAATCTAAGAATATAATCGTAAATTAACATGTTCACAACAAAAACTGATAATCAGAAGTAAATGATGAACAACTTCTCAGAATCAGTTTTTTTTTACTTAAAATAAGTTATTAGAATCAGAAACTATTTGAAATAAGTTTAACCAAACAGTCCAAAATAGCTTTTCAAAAGGCAAAGCCATAAGTTGGCTCAAAAAAGCCCTAAGTTGGCTCAAAAAAGCCCAAACAAACACCCCCAGTGCAACAGTAAGACTCAAACCTAAATATCACACCTAATCAAGGGAGCACCTCAACGACCAGGCCAACCCTTGGTCTTCTAGTAAAACATTCATTGGCCATCAATCCATCACATATAAAAAAACCACTTGAAAACGAAACATATTGCATATCATGATATACAGATACATATAGGTTTTAATTAAGATGAAAGAAACATACTTACAGTTAACATCCATGTGGCATTCTCTACCTCACGTGGATTAGACTTGACATAGCGATGGTTGAATGTGCATCCCAAGTGCATGTCTACTTTGTGATCATCCCGAAGATGGCTAACCAGGTATGGAATATCCCCTACAACTAAGCATTCCGATCCAGCATAAGGGCAGCTGTACGGTCTAAAGTTACATATGGCCTCGTGTTTGAGCTTGCTGTAGTAGGGGAAGATCTCGGGGCATCCAAGAGAGCAATACTTGCAAGGAAGTTCAAGCGATTCTGCTACCTTTTCTAATGCTAGACACCTTATATCACCAAGCTCTTGTCTACAAGTGGGACACCGGTTGTGTACCCGGACTTTACAGGTGGAACAGAGCGTGTGCCCATTGTGACACTGACAATCACAAGCTGTTAGACTAGAATACTAATCAATTCACTTTTTAAGAAAAAAAAGTGACCTGAATTTTTTTAATAAAATACTAATGGAAATACTCAAATATATACACACAAATAATGTATATCATGTTAGGCATATAAACATGTTGTGTACTGTGTAGTAGACATATCTTATTAGTGCTTTAAACTTTTAATGTCAGTATGAAGATGACTAATCGATATGAAAGAACATGCCGGATGGAAGTCCAAGGTAGTGTTTGGTTAATTGGAATGAAGGTAGCCTCCTTGTGGAATCATTCAAGAATCCATTTGCAATACATTTTTCCTCATGTTTTTACTGAACCAAACTTGAGAATGAAATTCTGATGGAATGATGATTCCATTCCATCTTCATTCCAATAAACCAAACACTACTTAAGTATTTCATGCTGAAAATCAATATGAAAAGAACATGCCGGATGGAAGCAAACTTGAGAATGAAATTCTAATGGAATGATGATTCCATTCCATCTTCATTCCAATGAACCAAACACTACTTAAGTATTTCATGCTGAACTATACTCATCTAACTTAAAAGACATCAATGTTGATGTCCTAAAGGTAGCATGTGAGTGACCTTCTCATACTAAAAGCATAGACATTAATGTTGATGTCCTAAAGGTCGCATGTGAGTGACCTTCTCATACTAAAAGCATTCTGTACTCAAATTAAAATAACTTTCTAATTATCTGACAAACCCAGGCAAATTAACTTTCTAAATAAAGTTACCCTGACAATGCTTCAAAAGAAGAAAACCCATGACTACCACTACCCTCTACATTCGAATATGCCACCAACCAACACATTTCATTTTCAAATCATTGCTCCCTGGGACCTTGCTTCTAAAGTTCCCATTACTGTCAGCTCCTATGAAACAACTTTTCTTATGGCTGAGCATCTGAGTCCCCCCTTATAGTCCATTCGTTCAGTATCTAAGAAAGCATGTCTCTCTTTCCTTCCTCCGGCACATTCTATATCTGTGCTTACACAATCATATGCATGTGTAGATGAATCTCAATTGGATATTATTTAACTCTGATATTCGAAGTCCAGTCTACCTTGCATAACCTTTAAAAGTTATCGGTTTCTGTTTTCTCCTTCTAAACATTGAACAGTGGGTAACTGTACAGTATGTATGAACTCTAATTCCAATATTTTCAATTTAGGGAAATGTAAATTTACAAGTGATTGTCATTTTAGTTGTTTACAGTTCGGACAAACCCAATCAATGACAACTAAAAGGATTCTAAACACAAATATAGCATCCTAAATAATCAAAAGAGAATATTCTTTGAACATGGACCAGTCTTATAGGTGAAATCTGTGCCTTAGAACATTCTCTCACCAAAGTACCAAACCATCTATCCCATCCCATCAGTCGCAAGAAACAACACAAAATGATTGATTTGCCTAACTCTCATTTTCCGCCACAATACCAACTAATTCCAAATCAAATAAGAGGCTTAACTCTAGTTTCGTGAGAACCTATGAAGCATGGACACCTCTCCGGAAGTCACATACAAGTGTCCGACATGTGTCGGACACGGGCACGTGTCAGACACGCTGGGACATTTGGGACACACTGCGGATGCGCTGTGGACATGTTAGGACAGGCTGGGGACACGTTAAGAATATGCTGAGGGCTTTTTTTTTTACTAAAATAACATATCTAAGATTGATAAATTTGATAAAATTAAATACGACATAAAATACATATTAAATATTTAAAAAAGTAACATATAATAAACATAAAAAAATTATATGTTTTGCACGTGTCCTTATCTTGGTACATGTCCGTGCTTTTTAGGTGAGAACCTTTTACATGACAGATAAACTTTGCACATCTCAAAATCATCTTGATTAGTTCTCTCAGTTTTTGCATAAAGAAGACAGAGATAATAAATTAGGAGAAACCGTCCCCAGCCTATTATTCTAGGTCTAGTGTAACACTATACAGACATGCCATGCTATCTCCCCAAGCACCACATATGATAGTATTCAACTGTTAAGTACCTTCTTGTTAACAAAATTAACAAAAATTAAAATTAAAAGAAATAGGGGAGAAAGATCCACTTCAAGGGGGAAGACCTCCTGTTGGTTCACATAGACAAGAACTTGGCCTCTTGTTTTTCACAAATGAAGACTGGTAATATTCTTCTTTTATTATTTCATTAATAGAGATGGTTTATATACAAGAAAACTACAACCCACTAAACCCATGATCCTCTAAGGTAGGAAAATTACCCACTAAACCACTATCCCATGACCACCACCACTAACTAATATCTAATAAATAATAAAATAAAATAAATAATATTTTTAATAAAATGACATACATAACATCAACATCTAGCATGATCACTATGCAAACCATGAATCTTAAGTTATTCATGGATACAACTGAGGGCACTTTCACAGTTGATTTTTCTAGGACCTCTGTGAGGAAAAGAATCAATATCCTCAACCAAATAAGAAAAGGGAAATTTGGTTAAAAGTCCTTGGTATAAAGCGTGTATTGCTTGAAGTCCAACATAAATTTCTTCATCCATAAAGTCCCTTAGTTCTATTTGATTGGGGCGTTAACGACATGCATTGATTTTTATGGGCATTTTTTACCTTTGTTTATATAAAAGGCCTAATTAGAGATAGATTATGTTTATTGAAACTCGCAAACATGACATTTGGCTCAAATTTGCTTTGCAATCGACAGATTATACATATATATATATATGTATGTGTGTGTGTGAGTTTAACTATATATATATATGAATGTATCCGCCATGAACCTAATCGCAATGGAACAAAAAATAAAATTAAGCAAAACTAAAATCAATGAAAAACTCCATATTTTCTTTCTAAAATCCAACCGATGAAAAGTTAGAAGACGAGTTTGAGCTCTTCCGTGGACGCGTGGAAGGTTTTGTGTGTGTATATATATTGTTGTTTATTTATTAGTTTGTAAATATGAAAGTAAAATTTCATCTCTACTTGTTGTGGTTACTCTTTAATCTGTACGCTGTTGTCTAAAAAAAAAAAAAATGTACTATGCTGTTGTTGTTTTTTTTTTTTTTGCTGATTTTCTGTTCAATAGTGACAGTAAAGTTTTACTCTGGTAGTGTTTTACTCTGGTAGTGTTTTTTTCAGTTATTTTTTCTTTTATACAAACTTTATTGTCAATCAAAGTAACATTTTACTATAAACCAGAGTAACATGTTACTTTGAGATAAAGTAACATATTATCAAACAAGAGTAACATGTTACTGTTTACATCAATTTCGACGGTAATATTATTATTTTTTACAAACAAATTTCATTATCAACATGGATCTTATTTGATAAACCCTGATAAAAGGATTCTAAAAATACTAATTTTATTAAAAATCGCCATCTAGATCAAAAGTTATATTATTTTAAAATTTAATATTTTGATAATGGTGGTATGCGTTGGACTTTTCTAGAAAAACTTTTTATGTTTGTCTGCATTAAAATTTTATAATGAGAGGGCTTTGACCAAATCCCTCATTAAGAAAAACTAGAATGCCATAGTTTCTCTCCAACAAACTTATCCTGCATTCACATAATTTTGAAGTGTTATCCAACTCACGCAAGATCTATTTATGAAAATACATAGTGCCATAATCATAATTTAGCAGAAACACTCAAAACCAAACTCCAAAATAGTAAAAAATCATAAAGAAAAAGATTAAAAGTTACTGCAAAAACGTAAAAATCGATCTTTTTGACCAAAAACCAATCTCCACCCATCCTATTATTTACAACATTCAAATTCCATAATTACACAATAATCAATCTATATGTCTAAATGTCCCCTTCTCCATAATCCAACCCAATTACATAAATCAATCAACCAAAAATACTGAAAAGCAAATTATGCTAAAATATGCAACCAATTCGCCCAACCTAAGCATTTCCCAGAAATTTGAAACCCTAAAGCCACCAAAGTTAGGTTTAACACAGAATGTCAAAACCCTAGAAATCAAAGAGCAAATTACATGCTAGCATCAAATATATAATCAAATTAGGTCCCCAAAACCCAATCTTCCACATCCAATTCAACAATCCAACCGCATCATCAAAGACATAAAACGACCACAAGGGAAAAATCGAAACAACAATTAGTGAATCAAGTCCAGAACCAAAAAAAAAAAAAACACACACAATAATTAAAATCAAAGAAAGAACAAACCTGGTGTATAGGAGGGTACATTGAATTGGTACAAACAGGGCATTCGAGAAGCTCCTGGACGCTCGTGGTGGGATGAATCGCAGAAGATACAACATTGTTGTGAGGCTTCGAAGAAGGAAACTGAGAGTGATGAAGATGATGATGGATCTCATCCTCATCCATAATATCGGAGCATGAAATGCATTCAATGCTATCCAATTCCATTCATACAATATATATATATATATATAATGAGAGTCTTTGGGTGTGTGAGTGTGCGCAGAGAAAGATTAACAATTAGGGTTTGACTGTGGTGGGTTTGGTGATTTTGGATGTAGTTGTCAAACCAAGTGTTCAAGGAAGAACAGGAATCAAAGAAAGAAAGAAAGCCAGAGAGAGAGAGAGAGAGAGAGAGAGAGAGCGCGTTCTCAGATTGGTGCTTTTCTTGAATTTTTTGTTTTTGTCCTTTTTTTTTTTTTTTTTTGGCGTTTATGTATAAGTTCAGTTAACTTTTGAATAACAAACGTACCGTTTGGTTCGCCTCATCTCGGAATATGCTATTTTAAGGAATTTTTTAATTTTTTATGAATAGATGTGTATAAAAATAGAGAGATAATGTGATAATTTTTAGTAATTTTTTGACTAAAATAGCCACTCCCTAAACGAGGCAAATTAATTTTTGGATAAGACAAAGCAAAAAAATATAGTGTAAATTATATTTGAGATTTGGGTTTAATACATATCATCTTTTGATATTTTGAAAATTATACTAATTTTTTATCATTGTAATTATTTATATAAAATGAAAATATTGAACTTATGCACTCTCTTTTCTTACTTTGTTTTACTTTTTTTTTTCATTCTTTTGCTTTATTTTTTTTTTTAATGTAATTTACTCTATTTTCCTATTAAGAGTTGTTGTCTTTTATATAAATAGAGGCTTTTTGAAATAAAACTATTAACTACAAAGGTGAGCACGTAATTTCTAGAACGTCAAATGATAAAATGTAATTGAACCAAATCTTATGGGGTGTCTAATTTATCCAAAAATATATTTGGTTAACTAATTTTTTAAAAATTAAATTGTTGAAAAGTTTAACTTAAAGAAGGGTATAAGGTATTAGATCTAGCATATATTTTTTATTGGTGAGAGGCCTACTCTTTGTGAAATAGTTTGGTGATAAGTTTTTTTTTTTTTTTGAAGGACATTTTGTTCTTAATTTTACTCTTTAATTTATTTGTTAATTTTTTTTGTATATGTTGACTTCTTTTTTTACTATCTATTTAACTTTTTTTTATCTGTTAAATTTTTTTGTCTATCTGTTTAAATTTTTGTTTAGCTATTCAATTTTTTTTTTTATCTGTTCACTTTTTAGTCTACTTATTCAATTTTTTTTATTTATCTGTTCAATTTTTTTTTTTTTTGTATATCTATTCTATTTTTTATCTATTCAAACCTTTGTTATTAAAATTAACTTTGGATTTTAACACACATCTGGATTTCAAATTCATCATGCTCTGTATTGCAAATTCATCATGATCATCATCTACTAAAAAAAAAATTTGAACAGATCAAATATAAGATCTCAAAACCCTAATAACAACAAAAAAGAAAAAAAAAAAAAAAAACCCAAGTCTAGAGGGATGATCTATTGAACAACAACAACGAAATTTTTTTTTTCTCTCTCCCCTCTTCTTTTTCTCCCTCTCCTCTCTTCTAGCCCACCGTTTCCACTTCCTGTTCCACCATCATCATTAGTAGGAAAAGAAATCTGGATGTTGGAACTGATATGTGAAAATAATAAAGATCAAAAGTTAAACAATAATAATAAAAAAATTAAACAGATAGTGTGTTTGTGGACTTAATCCCATAGCCATCCACAGTTTGAAACCATTCCACAAATTAGAGCCATAAAAATTCAAAGTGATGATTCATTTGATATTACCAGGAACAAAATAAGGTCCACTCATGTGTATATATTTACATATACTAGTGGGTGGCATACGCAATGCGTGTGCAATTTAGATAAGTAAGCATAAAAACAAATAATAAAGAAATTATTATCATAATGCATATGTTGTTTAAATAGTAAGAGTGTTTTTAATGAAACTCAAGATCTTAGATTCAAATCTTATTACCAAGCTCATTTCTGAAAACAAAAATACTTACCTACCAATAAGCAATCTCCACGGAAGATATGGCCTAAGACATTGTTACTACTAAAGTTGTTGTAGATATACATGAATAAAAAATATGATAAGATAATTAGTAAAGACAGAACAACAAATAATTCAAAACAGATTCCAAAACTTTCAATTAATCTCCACTCTCACAATTGATTTCATTCGACCATTACCAAAACACTTCAATGATAAGCCAAAATTGAAAGATTTGAGAGGACCTGTGTTAAGCAACCAACCACCATTTTTGGAGCAACCTTGTGAGTTCGAGTTCGACTCGACATGCGGCGAACCAGAGGATCTCAGAGTATGATTTTTGGACAAATAAACTTATCCTTATAGACCTAATGTTTCAGAGTACGATTTTTGAACAAATAAAATCTTGATTTGGATTTATAAACTGAGTGTCCAATTTTTTAATCTATTTTTTTGTTCAATTAATTTCTTTATATTATGGTCACAGGACTTCACAGTTATTGTTTATATTATTGTTGTTGTTGTGGTCTTTTCATAAAAAGTCAAAGAGCCAACTAAAATAGCTAGTTCCCAAAACAACCATTTACTGGTTAGAGCAAGACACTGCTTATTGGAAATTAATTAAAAGAAAGTAATAGAGGAGTACATCATTATCTCGAATAAAGCTTCTCAAAAAGACATGCCATATTTACCCAAGGGAAACACTCCATATACTATCTCAATTCCAAAATATTAAATAGTCGAGACAGCTCAGTTTGTACACAGAATGACATGTTAGGGTTAGGGTTCTGACAGCTATGATCCCAGCCAGGGTTGTGATGACAACCTGAGAGACTCCAAGGCTCAGAACTCGTGCACTCACCAAGAGATGTCGATTAGAAAATTTGTTGGGTGGCTACTATTTCTGGAGTCTATGCAAATGGGGACCATTAACAAGGCCACTGTCAAAAGAGAAATATTCATCTGGCAAGCCAACTTGCCAGGTTGTTGTGAAAGGCAAAAAATTTAAAATAATCCGTATACACTATTAACGAGGCACAGATTAAGTAAGACAGTCTTAACCAGTGTTATTAAAGGCGATAGGCACACCAAGGCGCCAAGGTCTCCTGGGGCCTAGGCTCAAGGCGCAAGGTGAGACGCCCCTTGTACAAGAAAAAAAAAAAAATAATAATATAAGTAAATAATTTAGGGTTCAACATAAACAAAATGAAATGTTAAACATTTAGTGCTTGTTTGGGATGTGCTATATAAGTATATTTTTTTATTTTTTGATTAAAAAAGTAGAGAAAACGAAGATATAGATTTGGGATAACTTTTTGACTTTTTACAAAAAAATGTGTAATAAAATTAAAAAAAAATAATAATGAAATTAATATTATAATGTGTACTTAGCTTAAGTGGTATGAGTCTTCGTACTTAAACCCATGGTCATGGGTTCAAGCCTTACCCATCTCTTTGTTTAACTTTTTTTTAAAAAATAAAAAATACTGCCACATGGCATGAGGAGAGTAAAGCTATAAAAAATACTGCCACATGGCATGAGGAGAGTAAAGTTTCAAGACACCATAAGAGTTTGTGTTCACTTTATAATAGTACTAGTGGGTGGCACACACGATGTGTGTGCAATTTAAATAAGTAGGAATAAAAAAAAATAATAATGAAATTAATAATATAATGTGTACTTAGCTTAAGTGGTATGAGTCCTCGTACTTAAACTCATGGTCATGGGTTCAAGCCTTACCCATCTTTTTGTTTAACTTTTTTTTAAAAAATAAAAAATACTGCCACATGGCATGAGGAGAGTAAAGTTTCAAGACACCATAAGAGTTTGTGTTCACTTTATAATAGTACTAGTGGGTGGCACACACGATGTGTGTGCAATTTAAATTGTTTAACTTTTTTTTAAAAAATAAAAAATACTGCCACATGGCATGAGGAGAGTAAAGTTTCAAGACACCATAAGAGTTTGTGTTCACTTTATAATAGTACTAGTGGGTGGCACACACGATGTGTGTGCAATTTAAATAAGTAGGAATAAAAAAAAATAATAATGAAATTAATATTATAATGTGTACTTAGTTTAAGTGGTATGAATCCTCGTACTTAAACCCATGGTCATGGGTTCAAGCCTTGCCCATCTCTTTGTTTAACTTTTTTTTAAAAAATAAAAAATACTGCCACATGGCATGAGGAGGAGAGTAAAGCTTCAGGATACCAAAATTTCTGTTCACTTTATAATAGTATAGATAGATAGATGATAGATATATGAGTTCATTCAAATGGTAGATGAAAGTTTCACTTGGGGAAGATCTATGATCTTTGGGGTACAGAATTGGGTCATAACCATAGGTTTCTAAGGATGTTCAATGACAATTATAAGTTGATGAATCATGAAAAAGACAATAAAGAAAGCGATGATACCAAACCCTAGAATAGCTTTGGGATCAACATTTAGGACACGAATGATGAATTAGATCGACCAAACTGAGAATTGCAGATCTAGAAGTTTAACTCGAGAATCTATTGTTTGTTTTTCGATACAGGGATCAGGAGGCGGAGGAGGAGTGGCGATAGTGGTGGAGGTTGTTAGCAGACAGTGGCGGATTGGGCGACGCGTGCCTAGGTTCGTTTGAGATGATCGTCGTTTGGCTGGTCAGAGATTGGAGGCACGATGACGTCGCGACGGCTGGAATGACACCATGGAAAGCTGCCGTTGTTGGGTGATAAGCTGGAGAGGTTTTCCGCACCAAGGATCCTCTAGAGTGAAATTTTCCTAAAGTTTCCTAGAGTAGTACATTGTGTGGTTGAGATTTACTGGCAAGTCACATCAGAAAAATTGATGTGATTTGCCAGTAAATCTCAACCACACAATGTAGCACTCTAGGAAACTTTAGGGAAAAATCACTCTAGAGGATCCTTGCTCGGTTTTCCGCAGTGGTGATAGAAAAGAAAGAAGCAAAGGAGGAGAGAGAGAATGTATTAGATTTGAGAATAAAGGGAGAGTTGTGTACACACATACACACATATATATATATATATATATAATATATATATATATATGGGTAGCTTGGTCATTTTATACAAGCATGTGTTTATGGACATACTTGTTTAGCGGCCGAACTTTTGAACAAAAAGAATTTAAATTTGAATTTATGAATTGAGTGTTCTTTTTAATTTTTTTTTTCTCTTTTCTCCATCCTTCTCTTTTTTTCATTATTAATAAATCAATCAATTATTTTTTCTTTTTCCTCTCTCACCTCTCGTTCTTTCACATTCTACAGATTAATAAATCAATTTTTTTCTCACGCC